AAGCTTTAGCCCATGGCCATGCAGCCTTAAAAGATACGCATTCAACAGAGCACCCAAGGTCCCAGAGATGCACGGGCTACAGAGGGTGCTCAGTCAGGCATGTCTGCAGGCTGTAGATCCTATTTCTCATAGATGAGATATCCCATTTCGTGAGTTTTTTTTTCCTTCAGGCTCTCTTTGATACAAGTTGGATCTTCTCTGTCTTCCATATCAGTTGCATTCTTCACATCTTTTTCCCCCTTCTCCAGATTATGTTTATTTCTTTTTAATTTTCCTCTTTGCATCTTTTATTTCTCCTATGATATTATTTGTGTTATTTATTGACCCTTGTATTCACTCTTATTTAATTTTAATTTCTGAAATTATTTTTCTTTCCAGGAAATAAACTACTTTACTGAATTTTATATGAGCACATTTCAATTTTTCCTTTTCTCCAATCATTTCACTTGTGAATTTTTATAATTCAGAGTTATATTTTAATTTCATAGATTGGGTCACTTTTTAAAAAATTCCTTTAATTCATTTTGAAATGTTAATTTTTTTCTTTTATTTTTATGTGTGTGTCTTTCTAGAGACCTTTATGTCTGATGACCTGTTATGCTCACTAGCCTAATTTTCTTATAGGAACCCTCAATGAGGACAGGTTCCTTCTCAGTGACCTTTCCCTGTGTGAAAGAAACAGGTTTCTCTGTACTTCTTTTCTTTTTTTAAAGATTTATTTATTTATGCATACAAGAACTGGGGTACAGGCCAGAGGAGTGGAGGGTAAGATACAGAGGGGGAACAAAACAGGCAGAATGACTGAAATACACTGCTGAGGGGAGCAGCAGGCGAGGCAGCAGAGGTCTGCTGCGCCATGTGGGTCGCCTCACTGGCTGGGGATCAAAGTTGTGCTGCAGTGGCTGCTGATAGCTTCAAAGGTTGTATCTTAACACCATGCACCACCAGGGAGGCCCTGACTGTACTTCTCAATGGGGAGAACAGACAAGGATTTCTTCACCAAGATTCGTAACTCTAGGGCTCCCTCTTCTGGGAGGGAGGTGCTTGAACTGCTTTCTGTTTCTCTCCCCTACTTATATCTGTATCTGGTCTTTACTGGGCTTCTTACTGTCCTGCTCTGTTTAGATTCTGTTACCAACCACTACTCCCAGGTGTCAAGCTTTGACCAAGAAGGGCTTTTTGGCTGGTGAGTTTCAAGATTTCTGGGAGTGATTTCATTGGGAGGATTCATTTACATCATAATTATTAAGTAGTTCCAGGGTGATAGTGAAGGTTAATTGTAGGAGATTTATAATGGTAATTATTATTTAGTAGAGACTTCATACAGATAAATGTGTGCAGAGCATTGTGCCAGGGCAACAGGGTGTTAGGAATAAACTTTTCTAGCTGAAAGGCAGATGGAAACATCTCAGACACTGCTCAATTTCTTCCAAAGAGTCATTCCTCAGACTTACTCAGAACTTTTTTCCATTCAGATTTGAACTCAGTGAGACATTCATGTTTTCACAGCCCTGTGGCTACCAGTAACCGGTCAACAACCTCCCAAGCATGGCCAAGCACGGCCCTCAGAACATTCACAAAACCCACACCAACTTTCTAAACTCTATAATCTAGGCCACCACTCTCGCAGGGAAATCCCAGACCTACTGTTCTTTAATAGAAATATCGGAAAATTGAGAGCTCACTGATGAGTTAGAAATCCAATTTCTCCAGACTTTGGAATTCCACTTGGAAGTGTATTTTCTAGGCAGCTGTATATGAGCTGGACTCCTAAGAAAGCATTGGCCTCAAGTCACAAAACCTGGGTTTGGTCACAGCTCTGCCACTTGTTGGGTGTATCATGTTAAACAAGTGATCCTTGCTGGGTCTCCATTTTTTCATTAGATGCAATAATTAAGAATAACAGTTTTCTGCGTGTGCCACAGCATTCTTAGATGGAGATGAAATGATGTATGTGAAGGTCTTGTAAGCTATAATTTCTGTGCTGTGCAAAATCAAGAGAGTGAGCCATGGAGCCCAAAGGGAAGTGTGTGGCTGCCATTTCTAAATAGTAGGGGACTGTGGTGGATGGTGCAGGGGTGCATTGGTGAAGGAAACTCTGTTGGGACTACACCTGAGGAGGTTGGGGGACAACAAATATTGTTTAAAAGTGAACAATGATGTAAAAAATAAAAAAAAATTAAAAATGAATTTAAAAAATGATCAGTCTTTTGAGTATTTTGGAATAAAATAGAAAGAATAGAATAGCAGAGAGTTGGCAATCAATAAACGTTTATTTCCTTCCATATTTATTGAATAAACATGTGTTGAGTAAATAATATTTGGGACATCAAATATCATAGAATAAATATGCTTAAAATCTCCCTTGCTATAAAACACCTGGTAAGAGTAGATCAAATATATGGCATGTATCAGAAAACATGTATAAAATTGGAAATGAGTAAGGGAAATTCCAAGAAGTAGAAGCCAAAGAACAGGTAGACCACTGGATGCCCAGAGGGCACTTGGTATCCAGAATCCCAGAGCCTAAGGTTATCACGACCACAGGAGTAACAAGCAATAGCACTTGAGGGGATGGGTAGGGGAATTTTGAAGCTGTGATCATCTCACATAGAGCCTAAATAAATTCTCAAAGCACCAATAACATCAATGAAGGATAAACTAGAAACAGATCTACTTATTGGAAAAGGGACTCAGGAAAGACACTTGCTTATCTCAGTCTCAAATCTGAGTGGAAGGACAGAGTTTCTCCTAAAACATTATAGCCACAGACCTACCTTCCCTGCATTTGAAGTTCAAATTTATGCTACTTTTATGGGTCAGAATATATGACAAGCCAAAAAATTAACATAAATAGGTAGGTTGGTAAAACTGGAAGGTGCCTCACCAAAGTAAATGCAAACATGCTTTGAAGGAATATTCTCTACCCGGGCTTTGCAGGATTCCCACAGACAAAGAGCAGCCCAGCATAAGCTCACAATCTAAACTTATAAGCAAAACACTTAAGGATACAAGCCACCAAGAGGGGATATTCAGTTGATAAAATAGCATAAAGAATGAGCTACACAAAAATTTAAATACTAGCATGACTATACATAAAATGTAAATGACTATGTTTAAATGCTTTTAAAAAAGTTCAAAAGAGTAGAAAACAGTCATGACATTTGAACAGAATGAAATAAAGAGTTTATAAGAAATAAAACATGAAAGTAAAAATTATCTGAACAAAGACCTATAAGTTTGACCATACAATCTGTAGATAAGAGAAAGGGGAAACAGGATTATTTGTGCTTTACTGTTAAGGCACTAGTGTGTGTGTGTGTAATTTTTTTAAATTATTGTCTTTATAATGTGACTTATCTTCTCTACAAACTTTTTTTCAGATTCATTTATTTTTTGCATGGAAGAACTGGGGTGTAGGCCAGAGGTGTGGGGGCATGGGGGTGAGAGGCTCCACCCAGAGACAGAGTGGGGAGCAGAAAAGGCAGAATGACTGAAATGCACTGCTGAGGGGAGCAGTGGGCGAGTCAGGAGAGGTCTGCTGCACCATGTGGGTGACTTCTGACAGTACACTTGTCAGTTTCTGCTTGCTGGAAACATCTTTATTCCACCCTTGTTTTTGAATCATACTTTTAGCCGGTAGACACTTTGAAGTTATTGCTGGTTGACACCTCTCAGCACCTTGAAGTTATTTCATTGTCTGGCTTCCATTGTTGTTTCTGTTTAATGGTCATTTCTCTATAGAGAATTTAGAAATTTATTGGGGGGTGGAGGAATTATTGTTAAGATCTTTTCATTTCTGAAATTTTACTACGAGTTTGTACATAGATATTAGTTTCTATTAATTCTTCCTGTTGGGGATTTGTTTTTCCTGAATGGAAGGTTCACATCTTTTCTCATTCTGAAAAACATCTTGGTCATTATCCCTTCACTTATTCCAGCTCCATCATTCTCTCTAATGAAGACCCTGGGTCTCACCCACAGCTCTCCTGGGCGGGGTCCCACTACAGCTCAAACACCAGTGGCTGCAAATGCTGGCCAAGGCTGGGAAGAGCCTGGGAAGCAGCACCGACTCTGGTTCTCTTCAAAAAGGGGAGCAGGACTGCTCCCGCTCTGGCTCTGGTGAATTCTCTCACACTCCTGCGCTTCTGACTGTACCCAGTGCATGTACAAACAAACGAACAAATAAATAAATAAATAAATAAAAATACATGCCTCTTTAAAAAAAAAAAAGGGGGAGCAGGAGACCCCGTGTCTGGGTCTCAGAACCTGGGCTGGGCCAGATGTAGGTGTTGGCAGGAAGTGGACAAGGAGGTCTAAGCAACATGAATTTTCTCCCCACTGCTCAGGAAGGAGGGAATGGTCACATGTACTAACACCCACTGAGGGCCAGGCTCTGTTCTGAGAGCCTCATGTAGTAACTCCCCTAATATTCATAGCCTGTGGGTCTAGCTATTTTTATCCCCATTTTTACATAAGGAAACTGGGACAGAGAGGCCAAAGAAGTTACCAGGCCACACAGCTAGTGGATACCGAAGCCGGCCCCAGCCCAGGCTGTTCAGCCCGAGCCCACTCAGTGAGCGCCTTCCCTCTGTCGCCTCTTGCATCTCACACCACAGCGCCCTGGCTCAAGTGCAGGGAGATCACCCCCGCGGGCCTCTTCTTCCATCCCAGAGCTGAATCTTGAAGTCCTCGGTCCCGTGTGCTCCTCTAGCCTAAACCTCATCTATTCGCCCCATCCCACACCCCAACACTTCTGCTTGGCAGATGAGCCTCTGGTCCTCTGAGGGCTGTCAGCAGGGCCGGATGAGGTGAAGACATTGTGGTTGGTGGTGTGAGTGGGGAGAGCTAAGGGAACCCATGACGACACTAGGGGCAGTGCAGGAAGCAGAAGTGAGGTGAACTAGGCCTGGTGATGAGTTGTGTGGTGAGCCTGCCTGGGGAGCTGACACCACCATTTCAGAAGCCTCCCGCGAGGAGCTAGGCTGTCTGTTTAGGAGCAGCTCGATACAGGACTCCAGGTAGGAAGGCAGGAGGGGTTTGGGGTGATTGGAAGCCCCTGGGTGGGGACAGAGGAGCATGGGTGTGAAACTACTCCTTTGAGGGAAGAGCCTTGTAGGGTAAATGGTTTTTCAGGCTTTTCTGCCTTCTGACCACTAAGATTGCCCTGCCTGATGGGGCACCTACAGTTGTTCCATTGTTGTAAGCTGACTTGTTTACTTCTGTGGGCCATGGGAGTAGTACTGATATAGTCACCAAGAGAAAAAGCAGCAGGAGAGAGGTAGGAGAGAGAAGGGGAGAAAGAAAGCCAGAAGACAGAGAGAGAAGCCCAGAGTGAAGACTTGCCGGCACCTTGGAGGCCTTGTGGCCTCCTGGCCCCCTGGCACCCCTGCCTGCCGTGTACCTGGTTGCTGCTCTATATATAACAGCTCAAAAAAAAGCCTGAGAAAACCTCTGAGGGCTACAGGACTCTCCTTCACCCATCTGCTGCATCAGAAAACCTGCACTGTGGCCATCCTGCCCCTACAAGCCTGATGGGGCAGGAGGTACTGTTTCACATACGAAAGAGACTTGGATTCCAGACTGCTGTGCACCAGGGCTAACTCATTGGGCAGCCTTGAGCCCACTCTGTGCCTCAGTTTCCTCATATACCAAGCAAAGAGGGTGGAGTACACAGTCTCTTTGGCCCTTCAGATGCTGACTAAGTCACTAAGAAAGCTGAAAACAACTGCCCTGGGAGATAAATGAGGAGGGACAGTATGGTGACCAAGTTCCTTGGATTAAGGTTATAAACTGTGCTGGCTTCTAAAGGGGATGATCCCAGGGCCTTTGAAAGCCTCCTCTTCTGCTGTTTACCTCCAGGGGACTGCCATATTGCCTGGAATTCCATCATTCAAGACCCTGCTTTGAATTGAAGGCCCAGAGGCTCCAGGTTGAGTGCAGGGGGAGTTCATGCCCCCCATCAACCTAGGGCTCAGAGAGGCAGCTGCCTCTGCTAGATGCCAGAGAGGAAAGGTCTCCAAGGAACTCAGTTTGGATAGGGGTAGAAGAGGAGATTCCAGGTTATAAACAAACCCAGCTGAGGCTCCAGAGCCACCTCAAACTGGGGGAGACACTTCTAAGTAATTGTTGTCCAACTATAGGCAATAGGTAGCTCACAGTTACTGCCAGGATCCCAGTGTGGCAGGGACTAACCAACAGGAGACTCGAGCATCAGTAGGAGACCTGGAGAGCAAACTTCAAGGCTTCTTCCATGCAGGATCTTAGGGTACAGGCATATGGGAACTTTCATTCTAGAATTCAGACTGATTTTCTTCCATGAGGCTCAGAAAGAGGTCCCCAAAGGGGAAATGGAGAGAATAAGGATGAATAACAATCACTCCTCTTTCCCAGTTATGTCAAGAACCTAAGGTGCATATAGGGTGGGGATAGAGAATAAGAGAGATGAAGTTAAGGGGCCTCCCTTTTAGTGCAATGGGTTAAGTCTCAGTACCATGAAGCTGTCCGCAGCTACTGCAGCATGAGTTCAATCCCTGGCCAGGGATCTACCCACAAAGCACAGCAGACCTCTCCTGTCTTGCCCGCTACTTCCCTCAGCAGTGTATTTCTGTCAATCTGCCTGTTCTGCTCCCCACTCTGTCTCTGGTGAATCTTCTTATGCCCTGCACCTCTGGCCTGTACCCCAGGTCTTGTGTGCATAAATAAATAAATCTTAAAAGAGAGAGAGACATGAGGGTAGGAGAAATGAATGTTTTGGGGTCAACAAAATAACATTTTCCAGAACCCAGAGTTCTCTAGAATTACCATGTCCCTCTCTCAAATCTGCTACAGCAACTGTCTGCCTCCTTCTCTGTACACAGAGCACCTTCCCAGCAGCATCAGCTGTGATACAAAGGACAAAGTCATCAATTTGGATCTCCACAAGGCTTAAATGATGAAATTGGGAGATCCTTCTGGCTGTGTGTCCTTGGTAGAATCACTTCTCTGTGGCCCATTTTTACAAAGAGGGAGGCAGCCTAGGTTTATAAGGGTCATTCCAGTTCTGACATTCAGTGAATTAAAAGGGATTGCATTCCCTCTGGTTTCCACAGGTCACAGCTGGGGGAGCAGTTGGGTGTCCTCCATAGCTCTGTCCACAGACTCCTGTCTCTGCAGCTCCATGGCCACCTCTGTGCTTCTCCAGGGAATTCTCCTCCTTCTGCTGCCCACACCCACACCCGCCCCCTGCCAAACTTTCACATACTCTGAGTGCAATGAACACGAGACTTTCGTGCCTGGCTCGTGGCTGGCAGGGGAGGGAGTAGACGTGACCAGTCTCCGCCGCTCAGGCTACTTCCCAGTGGACACAACCCACTACCTGCGGCCAGATGGCACCTGCACCCTCTGTAAGAACGTCCTGCAGGACAACACCCTCCAGCGCCTGCCCCTGGCCCTTGCGCACTGGCGTGCCCAGTCCTCAGTCTGCCAGCGCAAGGTAGTCAAAGCCGAGATCAAATCCGTCGAGGGTGTGGCCAAGGATGCTGCTAGCAACATCCAAAATGACTGGCGTGTGGGGCTAGACGTGAATCCCAAGCCCAGCAGCAACGCACGCATGACCATGGAAGGTGCGCACTCTGATGAAGCTAACTTTGCAGCCAAGAAAGCCCACGAGGACCAGTACACCTTCAGCAAGGATGAGGTGGAGTGTCGATTTTACAGGTGAGCTTGGGAGTGGGGGTTGAGGAGGCATGAAAAAAAGCTGGGAAATTTAGGGTGATCTAAAAGCCCAGGAATGGCAGGATGGGAACTAAGAGACTGCCTCCACCAGGAGGAAACCACAATCCTGGTTCTCACACACCAGGTGATACAGTGCCCTATGGCCTTCCCCCTAACCCCCGGTAGTCCAGATCAGGCAGAGAACCGGTAGAGGGAAGCCAGCAGGCTGTGCCTGAGAACATGATGCTATTTAGGTCTTCCCAATAACCCCCTCTTCTATGAGCATTGGCAGTTCTATGGGGTCCTTACTGGATGGCGCAGAGACAGGAGACCTGGTTGGGTCCCTCCCATCACTGACCTCATTCACCCTTTCACCCACTATTTAAGTCTGACTTGTCAGTCTCTGTGCTGGGCATTAGGACTCTAGTGCTGAGAAATTGCAATCACCCCTAGCCCTCTGGGATCCAGATCTCAACCCAAGAAATGTATGGACTCCAGAGTCACCCACTCTGGTTTCTTATACCTGGATGCTACCTTTTCCCCATGGTGAGACCAGGGCACCTATGTGGCCAGAGCTGTCAGGGGTCCACGCATACAGGGCCCAATTGAGTGGCAGACAAATAAGCCGCAGCAACAGGACTAGCTTCCAAAACTATAAGATACCATCAGTATAGTATCTTCACTTTTTATAATTAGAAAATAAAAAGGAACAAAAAAACTTTATTTTGAAAAGGAAAGGGCAAACTTCTAAGCCAAGTCCTTATTACTGAAGGAAAATAGAAAGGGTTTCTCTGTGGGCTCAGAGATTAGTTGTTCAGGCTTTGGAGCCAGACCACCTGGGCTTAAGTCCTAGTTCGGCCACTTCCCTGTGACCTTGGGCCATAGTGAGGGAATTATCAAATGGGGAAAATACTACTGCCCCCTGGACCTGATGTTTTTCTCTCTCTCAGTTTTCAACTGGTACACAATCCCCCACTGCACCCTGAATTCAAAAAGGCCCTCAGGGCCCTTCTCCCCGAATTCAACAACTCCACACAGACTGAATACTTCAGGCTCATCTCCAGCTACGGCACCCACTTTATCCGGTCCATGAAGCTGGGTGGCCGGATCTCGACCCTCACGGCCCTGCGCACCTGTGAGCTGGTCTTAGAGGGATTGACAGATAAGGAAGTGAAGGATTGCCTGACTGTCGAGGCTGAGGTCAGCATAGGCAGCAAGGTCAGTTCTTCATCAGAATACAAGGCCTGTGAGGAGAAGAAGAAGAAGCACGAGATAACAAACACCTTCCACCAGACCTTCCGGGAACGTTATAGTGACATAGTTGGTGGGCACCACACTTCCTCGCATGACCTGCTGTTTGGGAACCATGCCAAGCCTGAGCAGTTCTCACAATGGGTAGACTCACTGAAGGACACCCCAGGCCTTGTGGACTACACCTTGGAGCCTCTGCATGTGCTGCTGAAGAGACAGGACCCACACCGAGAGGCCCTGAGGCAGGCCGTGAGCAAGTATGTGTTGGACAGGGCTCGCTGGAGGGACTGCAGCCGGCCCTGCCCTGAGGGGCAGCAGAAGAGCCACAAAGACCCGTGCCAGTGCTTGTGCCATGGCATGGAACTCACCAATCAGGGCTGCTGTCCTCGCAAGAGGGGACTAGCACACCTGGAGCTTAAGAACCTCCAGACAAGAGGCCTGAGGGGAGACTGGACCACTGAAACAGACGCCTATGTGAAGGCCTTCTTTGGCGACCAGGAGCTGAAGACAAGCACAGTGTGGAACGACAACAACCCCACATGGCAAACAACGCTGGACTTTCAGGATGTGGTCCTGGAAATGGGGAGGCCCCTGAGGGTGCAGGTCTGGGATGAAGACAATGGCTGGGACGATGACCTTCTCGGCTCATGTGACACAGAACCAAAATCTGGGTCACACGAGGTGACCTGCAACCTAAACCACGGTCACCTGAAATTCTCCTACCAAGCCAAGTGCCTGCAACACCTGACGGGGGCTACCTGCAGGGACTATGCTCCCCAAGGGCGTCTAGGGGAGCCTCCAGGAAACAGGAGTGGGGCAGTGTGGTGAGAGCAGCAGGCCTGAGGGGACCAGAATGTCTGGCCTAACAGGATTCTCACAGACAGTGCCCATTAGCCTAATGGAAAACAGTCTTCTTTTTTTTTTCTTCACTCAAGTGGCTGAACTTACAGGTCTGCCCTAAATCTCCTTGTCCAAACTGGTTTAGCTCCTCCATATTCTTGGGTCCTGGAAATGAGCTGGGCTGGGCCACACCAAGTGTGTTTGCTGCACAAACGCAGCTGCAATTCCCACCCAGCTTCTTGCTGTCATTTAAGAACTTTCTGCAACCCTTTCTAGTGTGGTGAATGCCTTTTCATATTAAATCCAACCCTGCAGCCCCAGCACTTCTGTTTTCTCTAACTTCTTTGCCCACCAAGTTTAGCCTCTCAGATGAATCATAAGTGCCTTGACCTGACTCATACACATAACCTGACACACAAAATGATGTGATGGTAGCAGCTCTCTTGCACCAGGTATGGCCTGGGGCTTACACCCTCTGCTGTGTCACTTACTTATTAGCCACGTGACTTGGGTGAATAATCTGAGCTCTCCCACCTTCAGTTCCTTATTTATTATCCTTGGCCAATAAAACGCTACATCAGTGGCAAGTGTTAAAATAATAATCACAACAATAAGCCAACACTTAGTCTGTGACACCTTTACCCACTCTTGATGTACAAACTGAAATGCCTTTTATAAATTAACTCTTTCAAACCTTGCAATATCCCCAAAGAAGGTCTAAGATCACGAAGGAAGAAACCAAAGACCAGAAACATTAAGGAATTTGCTCAGGTAACAGCACATGGAAGAGGCAGCCAGTCTCACTTGAGCCTGCTGTGACTCTTCACACACTTCACCAGACACACAGACGGTGGTGAATCTTGACAAAGATGCAAACACCTCGGAAGGCTGTGAAAGGGAAAAGAACAGTGGTCTGTTTGGGTTTGTAAAACAGAACAGCAGCAAGGGAGCCAGCAGCCTTTCTTGTTCTACCAATTAGGTGTTCCCTTCTCGCTCTGTACTGCTAATATCCTAAAAAGGAGGTTCCAGAGAATATTATCAACACTTGCTGCGTTACTTAGAAAATGGGAGGTTGGGGATTATCTGACTTCCTGGATTTGTCTAAAAGTCCTGGGAAAGCCAGAAAGTAGTCGGCTCCATCAGCTTGCAGCCCCTCCTCACCCCATGCTGAGGTGCTTCTTTGGGTGCTGAATGGATTTACAAGACTTTCAAAGCAAGTCACTTCCCCAGCCAAATTTTTAAAGAACCTCAGCTACTGCTCCTGGTCCAAGGGCTCCCAACTTGCCCTACACTCAGGACTCAGGTCTGGAGCCACAACTCCCAGTACCACTTTGGATTTCATGCCCAGGAGCCAGGCTCCTGGTGGGACCCGGGGTAGGGATTGGGGGCCCAACCTCACTGAAGACAGGCAGGGCCCTGACTCTTTTGCTCCGGGCAGCTGGGTCTCTGGGCAGTCACTGAGCCTGGGACAGTGGCAAGCAAGTGGTGAGTTCTCCAGATGGGGAGAAATCCAGAGGTTAGACACTCCTGCAAGGATGTTCCAAAGAAGTCTTTACACCAGCAGGAATAGATAGGCCTCTGAGGTCCCTCCAACTGGCTGATTATCGTTCTAAAGAGGAAGAGCTGAGGGTCCTTCCACGAACATCCTGGGACCAGGGCCACAAAGAAACGGCCTGGGGTCGGGAGTGGAAAGCTTTTCTAATCAGAATTGCTGTCAGAGCCCAAGAGCTATGTGGTAGGGGGTGAGCATGGTTCTGTGGAAGGACCACCGAAAAGCTGGCAGGGATGGGGGCCAGAGGACTGTGAAGGGTCCTTCCAGCCTGAAGGCTCTAACATGCCATGAATCCCAGCCCTTTTGGCTTCTCTCTGCTTCTATGATAGCTGTTACAGAAATATTCCAGAAGAGAGAGACTGGCACTGGCTGGGTAGATCCTAAAACCATGGCATAGAACAGCACCAAGTTCTTGGGACAGCAGCTGTGCATAGCGAGCATGCCTGCATAGGCAACTTCATCTGCCTGGAACGGCACATAGACAACAGGAAACCAGGGTGGTTCCTTTCTTCAAGTGCAGTCAGAGAAGGCTGACCTTCCCAGAAAGAAGACTGACCTTCCCAGAAAGCAACCAGAGAGGCCAAGACAAGAGTGAGGGGGCATCAGCCAGGTCTCAGGCAGCAGGGTCTGGGGTGGGATAGGCTGTGTGAGATTGATGTGGAGAAGACACTGTGGAGCATAAAGGAGGAGGCAGAAGGCAGGAAGGGCCTTCAGATCAAAGAAGAGATGGAGAAGAGCCCACCGAGCAGGGCAGCTCTGAGGAGCTCCTGGCCAGACCATGGGGAGGCCCAAGCAAGGCTGGCAGATGCAGGCACACTGCACTGGGCAGACATAGCCCGAGCCGAGGCTCTAGGGCCCCTGCGGTGCTCACTGTTGGCTGTTGGCTGGGAGCAGCCCAAGGGACTGAGCACTGGAGAGGGGAGGTGGGCCTTGGCAGCCCCACTTGCTGGGTCTGAAGGTGCCAGTTCTCCTGAGAGGAGGTCTGCACAACCCTGTGGATGCCAAAGAAGGCTTCTAGGGTTCCCTGGACAGTTTCCCTATACCCAATTCCCAATGACCTACTACATGCTACTAAGGGTCCTCTGAGCTATTTCTATTGACCTTATTTTTTACAATCCCTTTTTTTGAATAAGTCAATGGGGGCCATTTTCAGTATTTCGCTATTCCAGGAGTTGTATCACCTGCCCAAATATTTGTGTTTGAAAATGTTCCTTGAAATGTTCTTCATAAATTTTAACATTAAAAAATAACCAAAATGTAAGGATGTGTATCTTGATGATAGAGATTTGGGTTAGATAGGTGTATGCATCTGTGTACTCATCAAGCAGTGTACTTGATGAGATGTACTCATCAAGCAGTACACGTCAGATTTGTACATTTGGGTCAGCCTTTTTGTTCTACTTGGGCCTTCAGCTGATTGGCTTAGATTCCACTCTGAGGTAGGGCAATGTGCTCTACTGAGTCTAGTGATTTAAATGCTAATCTCATTCAAAACTCCCCTCACAGAAATACCAGAATAATGTTGATTGACCGTCACAACATGGTAAATGAAGAGATGGGGTAATCAAACTTCCGGATCCTAATTTCATAGAGCAGATGTGAATGCATTACATGCTCACATATAAAGCACAGTATGGCACGTAGAGAGAAGGAAATAGAACAAAATGTTGGGCATTGGTTGTGAGACTATACATGATTTTTATTTTCTTCTTTCTTCCAAACTCCTCTAGTTTGAATGGGTCTCTGCCTTCTATTTGATCTTTTGTTTCCTCCTCTATAAATGTCCTACCTCCAGATTTCTCTCTATTGTGAATATGATGGTACATGTAAAAAGCTAGCACCGGGGCCCAGAACAGCAGATGCCAGCAAAACCCAGCGTCTGTCCTGTCCACCCTCCTTAGGTCAAGGGGCAGAGGGAAAACACATGTTTCCTATTTTCCCACAAATCACGTGACTAAGGCAAGGATCAGTTGGCCATTTCACATGAATAATCCTTGGGGAAGGAAGTGATTTACCCAGAACCCCAGCAAACTCTAGACCTCCAATTACCCTGAAGCTTCAAGACCCAATCCTGCTCTTCTCAGTCACACAAACAAGAGAGTTGGTTCACCCCCTCCCTGCTGAGTTCCTCTGGCAAACTGTCAAGTTAGCCCTTCCCAAGATCTCCCTGATTCTCCAGCCCCAGCTCAATCCCCTTGGGCTCAAGCTTCCCTGACTTTTAAGGAACCTCTGGTCTCCAGGTGGCTAATTTAGGGACACCTCTCTGGCCTCCTTAGATGCAGGAACAAATAACTCAAGTAACCAACTCTATGGAGCCAAAAACGATTTCTGCAAGACTACCTGCTGCGTGCTAGGCACACAAGGCACTTCACCTGCACTGATGCTGAATGTACCCTACAAAACGCCTGAACACACCAGGCACATCTGTGTGTCCCTACCCAGACCCCTTATCCCAGACATAAAAGTGCAGACTGCCCCCCGCACACACACACACTCACACCAGGGCACACGCCTCTAGGCTCTCATTCAGAAGCCAAGGGGAGCATCCTTGGACCCTGCTATGCTGGGAAATAACCCAGGAGGCCTTCCTTCCCAGGCTCGTGAGATCACCAGGATGTTCCATTCTGACCATCCCCAGCTGACCTTAGCACTACAACCCAAATCCTGAATGAAAGAGCTTGGAGAGCAGTCTGGGGTCAGTACTCGCCTAACCTTCCTCTCTCCTTACAGTTTCTTTACACACAGCTCTCAATGCAAGTGTGCTCAAGCACCCCGGACCTGAAGGAGCCAAGAGCAGCATGAGGGTATAAGAGGAAGAAGTGGAGGCAGAGGTCTACCTTCCTTAGCAGTCTGAAATTCCACTCTCTTCCATTTTTCTAGATACAACTGTCCTTCACACTTTAGTGTAAATTGACTTGTTAGGTTGCTTTCTTCAAAGAAGGGCTTAGATGACACTCCTGGACAGCACAAATGAAAGAGTAAGGCAGGTTGGGGATGTGACAGGATGCAAGGGTGGCAAGGGAGATCTGAAAAACACACTTTCACTGAGAATCAGGAGTGCTAAGGGCAGGTGCTCATCATTCGCCCTGCCCACCCACTCTTATCCAAAGGAGCAGGGACCCCAGTTTGCACCCATTCTCTACCATCTGCCCCATAATACAGACAAATCAAGTTAGGCACAATTCACATTTTGTGATTTTTAATGCTCAAAAGCTCTGCACAAAAAAAAAAAAAATCACAAATGAATCCTCACAACACCCCTGTGAGGTAGGCAGGCAAGTATTATTCTCCCATTGTACAGATGGGGAAACTGAGGCAGAGAGGGAAATTGACCAGTCAGTGGTCCCAGCACAGCTGGAATGCAGGGCCAACCATGAGAACATGAAGGCTCCCTCCCAGTTCAACCCTGGTCTCTGGCCCCTCATCCTTGTGGGCAAAGAAATGAAATTTTTTAAATACATGCAAAAATAAAAACAATACCAACAACAAATCTGAAAAGGTAGTGAACAGATGACATACAGTAGTTCAGCAAAATAATTCAGACAAGATGGTCAAACTCTTTCCAAGACTAGGTAGATGTGAATAACCTCAGCCTCTTCTCCCCTTTCTAAACATGACCAGTAACACCTCCACCTGCTTTTCTGCAGAAATTAGGCACAGAGCAACCTCCTAGACCTCACAAGCCAACTTGGGGTGCAGTCCCCCACTGTTCAGGACTTGGGTTTTCACAGGCGCAGGGCCCAGAGAAAGAGCTACAAGGCTCAGCTCAATACATCCGCCCGTTCCACCTCTCTGGGGAGCCTCCCACTGACCACAAGTGTTGGTCCTGGTGCCTCGAACTTCAAGGTGCATGGCCCCTCTATCCCTCTACCCAGAATGGAAGGCAACTCCTGGGTGCTCAGCAAGCATGGTCTGGAATCCAGGTGAGCCCTATTCTGCCCTGTGCCCTCACCCCAGTTTGTTGAGAGGCATCTGT